TGAAAGAAGCATAAAATTGCCGAAGTGATGAGTCATGGGAAGTGTGAAATGTACAGGTGATACCTAAAACACCTGCTCTGATAATTTTGACATAACTGTCCAGCAGATGTGTTTATACCCCAGTCCTAAATGGCTTTCAGCTCCTCCCTATGGAGTCAGAAGCTTTGGCTAATCACAGTCCTCCAGCTTTACTTTTGACAGCTTTGATGTTGCAGCTGTATGTTATCAGTGCAGAACACCCGTTGCTCCCCAAAGCGGAAATGATGAAACTGGTAACTCACCAGAAGTGAACACAAACCCACCAAAGCTACTGTACTGGTTAGAACATTCCCTTCCATGTGGGAAGAATCTGCTGTAGAATTTCTAGGCTCTTGTACCAGTGTTGGCTTCTTGGAATTATGGAAGCCATTGGAGAGTCACTGCAAGAAAGGAGGAGGGCTGAGGACCAGAGGGGGCAAACAGAGATGTCATTACAAGAAACCAAAGTGTCACAAAGGACTTTCCTAGTCCTTTGTTGTAAAATGTTGTGCTGATTTCCAATTGAACATTAACTATGAATAGTTATTTTAACACTGTAAGTTTCTTCCTAGCCAGTGTTTGATGGTAGAAGTAATACTTTCCTTCAGTTTTCATTTGGAAAAGACAGACCTTGCAAATCCTGGCTGTAACAGTTCCCTCATATCACACTGCAACACACCAGTACCACTCCTTTATGAGGAGGAAACTGATGAATATTTGCTTGCTAATATTTTCTTTCATATTTTTCTTTTCATTATAAAGCATCTTAAGCAGAGAAACTGTGGTTGCTCCATCCCTGGGAGTGTTCCAGGCTGGGTTGGATGGGGCTTGGAGCAGCCTGGGCTGGTGGAAGGTGTCCCTGCCCATGGCAGGGGGTGGAATGAGATTAGCTTTAAGGTCCCTCCAACCCAAACTAGGCTGTGATTCTGTGATCTCCATGTGCTTCTCTGAGAAAGCTTTACTGAACAGTGGTTGTTTTTTGTGTGGCTTTGTTTTTTCCTAACTCTGTTATAAGATCACCATTCTGGAAAGCATTGCAAGCCTGTTTGGTTCCATAGTGGAAATCAGGGGATCTTGTCCATGTCAAGAACAAATACATTGGCTGACATGGTAGATTTGATCTCAAACTGCTCTGGTTCTGCTGCTGTCACCTGCTGTGAGGTTATTGCACTGTTCTCATGAACTGGACTCTGCCAACTATGAGTCTGGAAGATGCTAGAGACTCCTCATTCCCAGTAATCAAAGTATGGGGTGTGAAAACCACTCAGGATCTGACCCAACTGCAGGATAATTGTTTCAGTTTCTAAGACTTATAAATGTTAAATATTATGCTTATCCTTCCCAGCATTTTAATGGGATGCCTTTTTGTGTGTTTTGCAGAGCTTTGTTAGAAGGGGAGAGCAACCAGTGGATTATTACATGGAGAGAACAGCACGGAGGGAAATTGCCTCAAGGTAAAATATGCATATTAAAAATTAATTTAGAATGAAATTAAATACAACTGGAAATGGCTGTGTTGTAGTATTCCTGCAGAATACTTTTTATGAGTGTATTGCAAAGTGAGTGTTGAATTAGTTTAGAGTGTTAATATTTTAAATCCACATATTGCTATTCTATTTATAAAATCATAGCTGCAGTGGAGGAAGTAAGCAGGGAGTGATGTTTCATAGCTCTAAAGAACTTTTGGATGCCCACAGGTCTTAAGAGAGTTTTGAAGTATAAAGCAAGAGGTATGTAACAAAACATGTAGTTAAACCCATGGAATTCATCATCCTGAGGCATTGTGAATGTTAAAAAGTTTACATGGGTTTAAAGAGATATTTTAGCAGAGTAATGAAAGACAAATCAAAGACTTACTAAACATAAAGATACCATTTCTATCTTAGGAGCTGCAAATCTCTGGAGGCTGTGAGAGTATACAAGGGAAGTATCACTATTTACTTGGCCTGTTCTTATACTCTTCCCTGTGTATCTACTCCTGGTCACTGTATGCAGGATTCTAGACAAGATGGACCTTAGATGTGACTGCTATGGCCATTGTTTTCAACAACAGAGTTAGTCTTGATGATAGTCCTGATTTTAACAAGATGTGGTCATAAAATCCTGAGAGTAGCATAGATACCATTCCTAGAAGTGATTTTAAGGCTGTGTCTGCAGTAGTAAATGAAAATAACTGGGGCCTAGGCTGAAATGCTCACATAGCTTTGCCTATGTGTTGAATTGTTAGCACTGTCCCTGGCACAGTTTGGTCTGGTCTAGCCAGTACTTCACAGGCAATACTGAGGCTATTCAGTGGTTATCACAGAGCAGGGAGTGCTACCAAATCAGGGGAGGTGTGGGGAGCTTTTTAGGAGTGGGAGACTTGAGTGGTTCAGTACTGGTTGGTCTTAGTCAGACATTCGTGCTACATATTATTAACTTATATTGATAAAATCTAAAATGTACTTTATTTCTCTCCTTTGTTGTACCTTGTGGCTAGGACAGGTTCTATTTGTGTTTGCAGTTTCCAGTATGTGGTGGCAGGTATAGGAACTGAACAAATTGAGGCCACTGAGACTCATGAAGCAAAAACCCAGCCCAGGTTACTAGAGTACATTATTGAATAGGAAGTTGTAGAGGAACATCAGGATAAATACCAAAGGTGTAATTCTGAAGTAAATGTCATAACACCCAGTAGTTCACAACAGGTAAAATTAGCAAGATCTTCAACTTAGTAAAAAGCTTTGCTTTCAGTTTTAGTGTAATTTATGCATAGACTTAATTAGAATGCAAAACCTACAGGAATG